GAAGAGAAAGACGGAGAAAGTCCATGGAGATGGAAGAGGAGAATGAGAAATAAGGAGAAAGTTTCGCAAATGGTAGTCTGTGCACACTCTTTTATGATTTTTATTCTTTGTAGGTTGGGAAATTGATTGATTGGGGGTTTTCAGATCTTGGATGATTACTCGAAGAGTTCGTATATTTTGTCAGATGTGTTGGTTCTGCTGTACTTGTATAGTGCCATCTTTTGTGAAAGTTGGAATAATCTAGTAAAGATCTGTGAGTATGATAGTCCTCCCCTCCCCTCCCCACGGCCCAGTCGCGGTACCGCGTTCATCGGCACTGCTCTCCGCATGAAAGTAGAATTCATGGCCAAACTGGTACATGAACCTAAGGCAGCACTTGGTGATGGACTGTAGTTTACTGTACCGGTAGGTGGTTAACAATGAGCTTGAGAAAGAGACTCGCCGGGTGGTATTGCGTCTCCCAGTATTGTATGGTAGGATATCGCGGCGTGTTTTAGTGGGCATGATACGGTTTGCGGACGGGAGTATGATAGCGGGTTATACAGAGGTTTGGGGTAGGTTTGGATGCCGTAGGTGGTGGATGGTGCTTTCACGATATTGTATGAATAATACCGTATGTACAGTACTAGTACAGTATGATACAACTAAATTTAGAGGGTGGAAGATCTTGGCACCCCCCCCCAATCTCGAACCCAAAGAATCATATCGGATCCCACCCACTTCACCAACCCAACGAACAGGCGTTATGTCGTAAACAGTGGGGATAATTCTCACCGGTATGATAGCAGGATATAGCCTCTTCGCGCTTCTCAAGTTGCACCGGTCAAATGTTATCACAGATACAAGTACACCGTATGATACTGTACCGCAACTGACACTGTAAGTTATAGCGCTAAGTCAGAATGTTTTTCGTCCGAAGCCCTTTTTACACCGAAAGTATCCACCTTCACCACCCTCTCTCACACAGCACCAATGCCTTTGAGAATCCGCCGGAATTTGGAAGTGCATCAGCAAGCCTGTAGATAACATGGGGGAGGGGAATATCACAGAATTTTCAAACACTGTAAAGGGGTGGAGAAAATGTCATCTTAGCATGAAGTATTATTGGTTGCGACGCACGATACTTTTTTGTTTTGTATGGTTCGCCTATTCCAAAAATTAGGCCACTTTCACACTGGTCGACGCGATCATAAACAGTTAGACTAACACAGCTTTGATCCATTGCTGTTCCACCCCTGGAGGGTTAAATGCATATTACGGTGATTATCTGTCTGATGGAAAGATTTAAAGTGTTCTCGAGAGGGTGCGGTAATGTTGGGAAGTGTCTGCTTGAAAATGCTGAATTTGGTTTGTAAAAACCGGGTGTCGGATGAAACATTTTGACCTGGTATGATATCATACCTTTTTAACAAATGGGACCTTTTGTGTGGAAGCTCTCGCGCACAGGACTGGAAGTATTCATCAACTTGGCGAGTATATTTTTGGTACGGGGGAATTGTCGGGATGATGGACTTTTCTGTGGCTTTGATACTCTGGTTTGGTTGTCCCTATATCGTATCATAGTTTTTGTGCTGGGGGTGATTGGCGCAAGGCCAA